CTTCAGTTAATTTCCATGAAAGGAAGAAACATCCCATATTTAAATAACGTGTTCCTCTACAATCTAATGTTTCCAGATTCAAATTCTTTCAGCCGTATGTTTATAGTCAAATTTTGGGTAATTCTAATGGCTCTAAACGATGTTTAATGCTGGATCACTTTCCTTACCGTCCTTGAGGTGGGAGGGGCAGATGGACTTGTTAGTGACATGATTTCTTGAATGGCCAACCTCAGCTTCAGCCTGTGCAGAGGATTGCTAATGCCAATTTCACGCTGTATTTCTGTGTCAGACAAGGCTGACATGATAGCACCACTTTTCACATTTGCTCGGCAAGCAGCCACGTACCAGGCTGGCATCCCAACCCACAGCTGAAACACAGAAAAGGATGTAAACAGGATCTGCAAAACATTCCCAACTCCAAACCCTTAAATTCTTTAGGGGTCTGTACACTGAGGGGATTTTTTTTATGTACTTTGGAAGGACCACTTACCTCCAACCACACAACCACAGTAGGCCCATCCCACTGTGCAAAAGGCAAACCTTGTCTTCTGGCTTCCTCTAGCAACTCATGCCTACAATTACAGAAATAGTGATTAGTTATAATAGATGTTGCAATTTGAATACTGAATTCAATTTATTATCTCTTTTCCAATATTTAACTTAGGCCTAAGGCTATATGATATACCCACTAAGGCAGCTACAGCACATGTACAGGGACTACGTGGGGAGGAAACTGAAGTGCACAGGAAATTTGAGAGCAGCAGAGATGCTGGAGCTTGCCTTTCAGAAATGTGTCTGAAACAGCTACTGACACTCTAACCAACACTGCCAGCACAACGTGGAGATGTCAGACTTATTTGGCAGTCAGATTCTCAGTTCCTCAAGCTTTTTGTTCAGCAGATTAGGCTGACCCAAAGTAGTCCTTTTCCCTAAACGTGCAGATTTGAAACCTGCGGCAATACACGAGCACATGTCCATCAGGCTGTCAGGGCTGCAGACTGGGACAGCAACCATTTAACTGGGAAATTTCAGCCTGCACCAGCCAGCCTGTCAGGATTTCAGGCACAGCTTCAGACAGCCATTATATTCAGAGAGCCATGCTCTGGCAATTATACTCCAAAGGGCTGGGTACAGCTTTCATCTCCTGGGATGACACCATTTCCTTTGTTATTCTGAAACAGAAGAGCCTGAGGTTTAATATTGACAATTCAGCTTACAGAAACAATGGAAGCTCACAAGATCCCTATAAATAGCTGCCAAAAATGTCTGATAAACCAAAAGACAAACAGTAGTGCTGGGGCTATAAGCATGCAATGCTGCTTGGATATGCCCGTCTGGAAAAATGGATAAAGTCTGGAAAAAAGCATATTTATGCTGCCCTTCAAAGCTAGTTGCATGTGGTTATGTCTCCACTGACTCCCCTTAGAAGTTCTGAAAAAACAGCTTCACCTAATTAGTGTTTTTACTGGTTTATGCTTTTTATTTCTTCCTGCAAGTGTAGGAGATAATTAAGAAGATAAACAGCAACACTACATTATGTATTTATCATCTTCTCACTACTTAAAACAAAATCTCCTCTTGCCTTCTGAACTGTAACACGGGATAGATCTAAGATAATAAAATATTTAGAAGTTACAGAGATCAGTTATTATATTGATTACTGACAGACCAGGAGCTTTTTTGGCTACCACTACAAAGTGGATGTGTAGTGTTCAGCACTTTTAGGATCCTCATGTTCTATTGGCAGATAACTAAATACTGAAAAGCAATCAACGAAGTAATAAATATACTAGCAACTGTTTTATCAATAGATAGTACTTCCCCACCTGCATGCCAAGAAATTCCTATTGCTCTGGAATAACCTCCTGATAATTTATCCTATTGAAATGTGCTGCCCAGGAATGGAAAAAGGGGAGGAAGGAAGGGACTGTCAGATTACTGGTTACAAATAATCATTCTAAGGTACCATTTAAGACCAAAGAATTAAGGTGTAACAGTGCTCAGCACTCAGCAGCTCAACAGTCAGATTTCACTAACTGAGAAGACTGTAAAAGCTAATACATATTTGTACACTTCAAAAAAAATACATGTTTCTAAACTGAGAATAAAGGATCAGCTATTTTCCTGCTTCTATGGAACACATTACATTCACCTCACAAATGACTAGCCCTGAACACATTCAGTTCTGCTTCATTTTGTTGCTTAAAGATTTTAAAATGAGACAAGGAAATTAATCAGACAACAGAATTAAATGCTTAATACTGTATTTGCCAGAAAGGAATAACAATGTTTTTTTCCCAAGTAGTTTCACTTCAAAATTGGTTGTCTTTGTCTTCATTTTTGGAGGTTTGCATGGAGTTCAGAGAATTTTACTGCAATTTCTATTAGTTTTGTAAGTCTCACAACATGTGTACTTCAGGTTAACCATGAACCAGTAAATCCTTTGGAGTAGTCCAGGGAATAGATCAAAAATGGAAGGAGAGATCACAATGCAAACTTGAAACTCATGGTGGTGTGATATGCAGAAAAGAACTGTGTGGCTGGGAGTGTTACGTGATGGAGGCAAACGTAGAATTAGAAACAAAGAAAAAAATGTTTATGAGGGAACTTTATGCAGAAATTATTCAATGGATCTGAAGAGGAATGCAACCATGAAGTGGAAAATTAATTGCAGAATTTATTCATATGCAAGAAGAGATAGAAAACTTGCTTGCAGGGGAAATCATTAAATTGAAAGCTCAAGATGTAGCTCAGGCACAAAACATCTTGCATGAAGAATTCCGAGGCAGCTGCTGTTCCATCTGCAAATGATGCATTAATGGTTTTTTCCCTATAGCAGAGAACTTCCCTTTTCCAACTATTCCCTTCCAACTTCACCAACATATTGCTACATTCCAGTAATATGTGATCAGATCCCTGAAAGATTACAACAGACAGGCCAGCAGTGTCACAGGCCACCCAACTGTACCAGCTGAGAAGTGGGTGCAAAATCCTGCTCACATCTTTGTGAGGAGAACAACATTGCAGCAGTGTTGGCAGCATTAACAGATGGGATAAACCTGGCACTGTGAAGGATAACAGAATGCCAAAGGAGAAGCTAGCTGGCTACTGGAATAACTCTTAGGTGACAAAACCAAGGGATGGATGTCTACAGACTTCATAAAAAAACTGGCTGAACTTCACTTGGAATGAGAACCCAAACATGCTGCTGCAAGAGGGGAAAGCTTGTTGTTAGACACATTCCAAGACCTCTCACACCAGCTGTGGAGAACAAAGAAACTGTGGTCATAGGGGAGGAGAAATGATGTCAAAACTGCAGGTGCTTGATGCAGTAGTGAATGCACAAGACCCTTTAAAGACCATCTGAAGCATATGTGTTTAGAATGGCTCTTGGCAGACAAGGATATGCTAACCCCACAAGGAAAATAAAGCTGCCTGGAGCAACCTCACTTTGTCACTGGATTAAGACAGCATGGGAATGGCTAAGTCCAGCCCTTGTAGCCAAAAGGGAATGCTGTATTCCAGATTTCTTGGATGGAACTGAAGAGAAGTGATTTGGAAGAAGTTCAGAATAGAGAAAACCCTGCAGTGTGGAGGAGAAGAGAGTGACACTGATGGAAGTGACAGAGTTTCAAGCTGTAGAAACTGAAAAGCAACAGTAGTAAAACATGAGATGAAAACAGACTAACTTCAGGGGAAAGTTAATGTCCTGATTATAGGCTGAGTTCAGGTACATAATAAGTCTTCTGTGTGTAACTTTAAGGAGAACTACCTTAAATTTAGGTTTGCCTTCCTTTTTGATTAATACAGTATTAAGTGTGTTGAGTTTTACACAGAAAAGCACAAATACAGTTGTGGCAAACACTGTCAATGCTACAGCTCACAAATAAAGATGAACACAACACTAAAACCAACTCAGATTTAGTAAACAAGCAACACTTTTACAAAAGTACATCCACCTTGGACACAAACTGCCACAGACACCTACTACTGCTAAACAACTTTCAAACCCCAAATTTTACAGAACTAATTTAATCTAAGCAGGGTTTAATATTTCCATCATAAAAATTCACACCATGCAAATTTAGACAAGACACTGAACTACCTTTCACACTGAACTAGATGACACTGGATTTATTTCAGCAACACATTGTCATAATATATTCTTTTGAATCTAGTATTTCCTCTCATAGTTAGGCTTTTCTTTTTTAAAAAAGAGGTTAGAGCTTTTAATATATTGCTAAAAAATCCAAATGAGATTTACCATATTTTCACAACAATCCTAATAAAGTAAATATAAACTTACCCTGTTTTTGCACTACCACATCAAATGGTAAACAAAAGGAAAATAAAATAACGAAGGAAAACTGGGATTAAACTGAACTCAAAAGCATACAAAAACAGACAAATAACATGTACTATAAATTAATTCTGTGACTATAAATAGGTTTTTGTTAGCAGACAGTGAATACTGCCCTCAGCCTGTTTGTGCACATGCTAGCAGAAATCAGAAAGATAAGCAAGCAAATAGGGATTAGAGACAACTATAAATAGCACTAGCTGTCACTGTTCCAAGCATTCAGGTAGCTGGAATTCTTTTTGCTGAATACAAGATTTTGCAAGCAAACAGTCAGGCCTGAGAATTTGTTTTAACCCACTCTCCTCCAATATCAAAATGCAATGCAATTCAGAGCAGCTGTACCCCTTTTTCTTTTTGATAATGAGCTTCTCGAGAAGGCAGCAAGGGATCTCTGACCCTTTGGGACAGTATTGCTTCCTATGCTCAGAATATTCATCAGGATTCTGAAACAGCTGCATCAAAGTGTTTTACTGGGATTTTTGAAGAGACAGATCTAGATTGTATTAATTTAATTGAATGGTAGCAAAGAGAGGGCCCTTCCAGGGCCTCAAGGGGCTCCAAGAGAGCTGGAGAGGGACTTTGGACATGGGCATGGAGGGACAGGACAAGTGGGGATGGCTTCCCACTGCAGGGGCCAGGGTTAGATGGGATATTGGGAAATAATTCTCCCCTGGGAGGGAGCTGAGACACTGGCTCAGGTTGCCCAGAGAAGCTGTGGCTGCTCCATCCCTGGGAGTGCTCAAGGCCAGGCAGGATGCAGCCTGGAGCAACCTGGGCTAGTGTAAGGTGTCCCTGCCCATGGCAGGGGATGGGACTGGATTATCTTTAAGGTCCCTTCCAACCCAAACCATTCCATGATTTGCCTCTCACAAAGTTCAAAGGGCCCTGCTGCTGCTCTCAGCAGTAAGAGTAATAAAGCATTAGGATATGAATCTTGAGCAACAGTCCTGTTTCATACCCACTTCCATGGACATGCCTGGAACAGGTACCTCCCTGGGAATAAGCATATGCCTGTATTAAACAGCATGGGAAGGCAATTCCACACTACCAGCTTTCATTTGTTTAATACAGACACTTGCCCTTTAAGCAATCAACAACACGCAGCCATCAATTACCCTGTAACCAGTAACAATGTATTTTCAAAAGACAGAATGTTTACAGGAAAAGTCATGATTTATCTGCAACTGCACTTTTAGCATTTCTTAAAGCAAGACAGTGTGAGATTGTTTTACTTGAGACTGAAATTTGTGGGTGGTATTGAGAAATACCTATATTGCTCACAGAGGAGGATTACCACTATTTAGATACGACCAGACTAAAAGTATTTATTCAACCAAGATGTGGTAGGACTTTAAAGCTCTGTAGAAAAGGGAAAATACCAGATCATAATAATGTATGATTGCCTTCAGTGTAGCAGTCTGAGGAAAAACAGCTGAGCCTTCTGTTATACAAACAAACCCACATTCCACCCTGAGTTTTCAAACCAACACAACTGCTGGTTTTCATTAGCAGTCAGCAGGCATTATTCTTATTTGTTAATAGAACTTAGGTACTGCAAGAAATCTCTCACAAAGGGAAAATTAGCACATTTTCTGTTCAACTTTTGCTGTCTGCCTTCAGCAGGCAAGTGAAAAAGCAAAGCATGTCTGATCTTCATCAGGTTTTTGACACAGTAAACGCAGCTCAACAGAAGCAACAGAAGTTCAAGGTATATGGCTCAGCTCTGGGTGAAAAAATGCAAAGAATTCCTGATCCTACTTATATAAATTGGAGTGTTTCCTGTATTACCATATAAGCCTCAAGATTTCTGCTAGTAGCAGTATCTATTTTTCACCTATGATTACAGCCTTAGCTTCATCTCTTCTGAGAACAACAAAGCAAACAAAGAGATACTCAGAAGCTGAACAGTAAAACTAAAGATTTTCTTGAACACATAGTGAAAAAATTCTCACGACTAAGAAAAGGTAGCTGCATAAAAGGGGCCATAAAATAGAAGCAGTCACAATTTGTATATAAAAATGAGGAAATCAGGGTTATATGGTGCAAGGAAAAAGAATTCAGCTGTAAAAATACATGAGAGAAAACATCAAGACAACCTTAAACAGAAGTGAAGAAATTAGTGAAGAGAGAAGCAGTTGGGAAATCTTCCAACTGAGTTAAACATAACAAATTTAGGGGAGGATTTGATAAGAGTCCATGTTTATCTCCAAGTTTCTTTATTATAGCATTCCAATAATAAGCTTTCAGCACTGAAACTTACCATGAACTATGTTACTATTAATGTTCTGGGAAAAACAGCTAAAAAAACCAACTGAGGCTTATTAGCCACAGCACCATATTCAGCAAAAATACCCAAAGCCCAAACTAACCCACACAACATTTTCAAACAAAGTGATACTTTGATAACTTACTTTTTCTGCATTTTCCTATTCTTTTCTGCCTGACCTCCAAGCTTGCTGAGACCTAATGCATCCTGAGAGGAACCATCTGCTTCTCCCATGCCACCTACAGAACAAACCCAGTTGTGTTATGTTCTCAATCAAGTATTTAATCCCTTGTACTATTACTGATCAGACATGTACAAAGCCAAACCCTCAACCCCATCCCTCTAGCTGTGCAAAACAAAACAAACCAACCTTGGCCTAGTGCTTCCTTGCTGGTTTGTCCAGGTCGTCCCTTTTCCTTCTTGCCAAACAAGCGACCAATAGAGGATTTGATCCCCTTCTTTTTGGGAGCTTTATGAAGGGAATCTTGGCTACTGTTGCTGCTACTAGGATTGCTTGTTTGCCCATCTTGAGAACCTGTTGAACTTTACCCAAAAGAAAGAGTCATAAGGGAGCCCACGTACCCAAACTCACTAGTGTGAGAAACAAGTTCTGTGCAAGTCAATCAAAGTTCAGTGACTCACTAATGACATCTAATTACAGCTTTCAAAGTGCTGGCAATTTTGCAAGTTACTTCTAAATTTGTAGCTAAATTCCAACTTAAAGAGTGGAATTGCACATTTTTCATTTCCTAAACATGAAGCAAACTTAATGCAGATTTGAATACCACAAGAATTCTCCATGTGAAGACTACACTAAAATCCTACAGGCTGAACAGCTTTGCAGACTGATGATGTGAAATACTGAGTTACTGGCAGGTCTGACTGATTCACAGCTACTTACTTCCTAATGTCCCTGATATCTTCATGGCTCACTGTATGCAAAGCTCCTTTTTGGACTCTGTCCAAGCGCAAGGACCGAGGTGAAGCAGGTGGTGATGTCTCACATTTTATTGTGGTTTTATCATCTCGTACCTCTTCTCTGGAAGCTGGAGACTAATGAAGAAGGAATAAAAACTTGAGGGATTACTTGGAAATGCCAAAACATGAATGCTACACAAAATATTGAAAGGGAAAATCAATTATTTCAGTGACAAAGGATCATTCTTGCCCTTAAAATTCTGCAGTTACCTAGTTTTTTGCTTGACTTTTTGCTAAATTTTGCTACCTTCAGTGACAAAACTACTAAATTTCAGCCTGAGCTCATGAAATGAGCAAGTAGCATTCATCTTTAGTTCTTAGCTCTATGAATGAATCAAAGTAATGTCTTCAGCACCATAAAATTAATGTACCTTCAGTTTGAGCAAGTGCAAAGAGAAAACCAAAGAGTCCTGGTGAAAAGAATCATTAGCAAGATTACCAACTCTGAAGTTAGCTTCTACACACCAGTGGCTACAGATGATCTTCAAAATTGGAGTAACAGAAATTAAGACTTTCTTGTGTGCAATATTGATGCATGAAGACTGCAAAATAGTGGTTACAAACACAGCAGCACAACACAGCACCAGCAAAAAAAGCCAAACAAACAAGAAAACCCACAAAACAAACCCACACTAATGCTAAGATGATAAGCCATAATCTTGCTTCATTACAGAGTTACTCTGCAAATGCTTTCCTTTATGTTCCTGTTACCCATCAGTGTCTGGGGACAGGGAAGGAGATGAAGGGGCACACCATTAAATAAAGATTTTTACCTTTCTACGGTGTTTCCTTAAATCACTAGGCTGATAGATGCATGCAAAGAAAAGAAATTTGGAAAAGCTGTATTTATTGTCAACTGCAGCACAGACTGAAACAACTAGTACAACAAAACATATCAGGGAGAATATAAGTAACAATTACAACAATGGCACAAAGATACTGAGTATGAAGTACTCTTCAAACCACAGATTATTTAAAACATATCCTTGAAGAGAGGAAAAGGGAAAAAAAAGAAATAAACACGGTTGGTTATCTACAAAAGTGCCACAGATGTTTGAGGGTATTGGTACCACAGGCAAATTAGCACACAAAATGTGCAGTGTTTTCAGCGAGAAAAGCAGTCAAGTGCATGGGGGTGTAAAGTGCTGCTTTTAAAAGGTGAGAGCACTTCAGTCATGTGTCAGGGACCTGTCTTGAACCTGCATGGGATCCACAGCAGCCTAAACACATTGTCTGCACTGTCTCTTCTCAACTTAGTGATTTCTGCAGCTGCTTCCTATGTAGCACAAAAAGCAGCCAATATTTAGTAGCTGTGAAATACAGAGTGCCAACTATAGCTGATTTCTATCCAATAACAGCATTCTGTTCTTTTGACGAAGTTTAAAGTGCTGGAAATGTTTGAACAAGAGTTCACCACTACTTTTATTCTATACTATCTATCTCACTCCCTAGGTACTGCTCACCTCTGTCAGCTCCAGCAACCCTGAGTTACACAGACAAGTTATGCAGACTGAAGCTGACAAAAGTTTAATTTAGATAATTTGGTTAATAGTTCTCATTATTTAAAAAGGCTGTAACTAAAAATAAAGCCAGGCCCCTTTGAAGTGGGTGTTGCTTCCCTCCCACAAAGGACAACTTTTAATCACTTTTCATTTAGAACACATGTAAAGTCTGCTGCATTATATGTAAAGTGTTGTTCAATCTGACTGCAAAGTCCTCCATTAGTAAGTCATAAGTTTATTGAATCATAGAAGGGACCTTTAAAGGTGATCCAGTCCCTCCCCAAGTTCCTGACAAAGCACAGCAGACTCATTTTACCCTCGCTGGATCTTTCATCTATCAAATCTGATGACCCATAAAAATGAAGATCTTTACATATGGAATGAAAATTGTCCATAAGAACTGGTCAAGAGAGCTGTAAGGCTTCACAGTTTGTCATGTTGGTGCTTTTTAATCATGAGGGGCTTTCAACTGCATAACCATCACTGCAGGTAGCATTAAGCCAATTTGCCTACATGATCAAAAACTAATGCAGGTCTCTATTAAAACATTGAAAAACAATGCAGAACAACTCACTCAGCCTAATAATTCATAACAGCTGTTCTGAAACTTTCTAGAAAGCCCTTGCTCTGTAATTCTAGAAGTACAGCTTCCTTTCACAAATCAGTTGCCAGCTACAAAAATGTGAGACAAATGCAACTGAAAACACTAGATCAAGTGACCTTGATTCACAATTATAATCTAAAGTGAACTTAATTACAGCTCACTTTTCAATTACACTACATTTTAACACACGACACATTCTCCTCATTTTGGAGAAAATCGCTACTGCAATTTGTAGATGGTTTTCTGTACAAGCAATTAGCTTAGTGTGAAATGTCAGAAGATAAAGCACTCCACATTATGAGTTATGATAGTTTTATTTAAAAGAAGTGTGCTTGACCCTGGCTAGAACTATTATAGTGATGTTTTTAAGTTCAAATAAGGTAAAATCATTCCTTTGCATGAAAAAAGAAGACTTGGTATATGCACACATTCATTTTAAAAAGCCAGCAGAAGTTGTTAGCTGAAATATTTGTTTTCAAACTCTCTTTCCTATAAGAGACCCAAATGAGCCCAAGCATCTGCAGTCCAGCTGCTCTCAGTGCTGGGTAGCAGCACTCCCTGTCTACTGATTGGTCTGGCTTAGGAATGATCCAAGTGCAGTAATCCAAGACAGTAAGGTACAGTATGTGTAGTGTTGCATGTTCCGAATGCAAGTGCAAATCTGGAGTCAAGATAATGTGTCTAGATAAACCAAAAAAGAAGCTTTTCCTGGAGAGTGCTTGCAAATAAATACCACTATACAAGATGCTCCTTAGTGAGAGGCTTCCCAAATAGGAGAAACTCTGGTTTGCTTAACATTTGCCTAAAAATAAGAAAGGGGAAACCTTGCATCTTGTTTTTATAGATGGGTGGGTTTACATGCACCAAGCAGCTCCTAGAAGGATTACTTTTTCTAAGCAGTCAAAGGAATGGATCCATCTCTCTCTACTTGCTGACCTGCTAAGCCCAAGCTACTCTTTCATCAGGTTCCAGGTCTAACAGGTACTTCTTTTACCTACCAGCCTTGATAGCCTCAACCAAGCCACCAGCACTCATTAGAACAGCTGTGACACCATCACGATCTTCAATATTAATGCAATATATGCAAATCATCTTTTAGCAGAATGTTTAAGTGCAATAGTGGACTGCTAAAAACAAAGTTTAAAGTAGAGGGACAAAGTGTTTGCTGTACCAGAGGTTGAAAAGAAAACATTATTTCTGCTAGGAAGAGGAATCTGAAAAAAGACCATAACAACAGAAGGAATACTTAGGCACGAGATGTTGACCAAATAATAGACTTGAGTCCTAATTATTATGACTTATCTTACACTTTTTATAGAAGTTGAAAGGAAGCAGTAGAAAAACCTAGAGAAAGGAAAAATACAGCTGAGTAAGAAGGAGAGGAAGGGAAAAAAAATAAATCAAACAACCCATTTCCTAGAGAAAAGAAACTTCCAAAAAACCTGAAGGACATGGATACTTACCAGTGTCATGATTCCTAATCTGTCCACTTCCCGAGCTGGACTGTGTGGGATCCTCCTTGGGGTGGAGCGGCCACTGCCAGGGGGGGAAGAGCCAGCAAGGGAACCAGTGGCATAGGGAGGAGGAATAGAGCTCATGGACCGGAATCGGCCATGGCCATCCAGACTGCCACTGCCCACTCTGCTCTCAATCTCCTCTGCACGCTGCTCTGTGTTCTCCTTCTCCTCTTGGATAAGTCTAAAAGGAAAAGGTGTTTCAAAGGAACATGAACTCAGACAAGGACCACACAAAGAGAATGGCTGACTCAGGCAGTAGAACAACAGCCACGTGGAAAAATTACCATTTCCCAAGTAATTTTTATCAAAACCTTAACAGCAGATAGGCCATACCTAATCTCCTTGTTGATTGCATCCAACTGTTCTTGAAGCATTATGGCCAAAGTCTGAGCATCAGCCTGACCACTTGGGGACAGCAGATCAACTGAACTGAATATAGTCTCCCTATCATCCTCGACATCAGACACATCAACATCACTTTCAAATGCTTGTGCCACGTTTGCCAACACACTTGCTTGCTGGGCTCGCTCCCAATCCTGCTCGTTCAGAGTCTGAACCTAAAAGAAGTCATAAAAAAAAATAAAATCCAAACTCAAATGGGAAAAACATGACATTTCTCCTGTTTTAATTTCTGTAAGTGCACTTACACGCTGAATGCAGCCATCAAGACAGCAATGGTTAGAGAAACGTGAAAAAAAGCTATAATGTAGAAAAGCTTTAAATTTCACTTAACTGGAAGATGCAAAGTGGACAGGCTCGTTGGACAAATTAAAACATTACATAGCTTGGCTATGCACACTGTAAATCACAGAAGAATTTTGCTATCAATTCCATGGGAATTTTGGAATCAGCTTTACATAGTGATAACTTGAATACTGAAAGGGACTTTCAGAACAGTCACACGTCAGATTAACGCAAAGACACCAAAGCAGGACTGTTTCAAACTGTATTCTACATAATTACAAACCAAAATTGGAGTTCAAAACCATAATCTTGCAAGTATTTGCTAACAATTCAAAATACTAGGAACTGTGCATCGGTTAGTAAAACAGGATCTAGAAAGTTTATTGCTTGGTCCTCCAATTCTAACAACTCCTTGCAATTGATCAGCCTCATAATCTAATTTGTTGCCATGGTTTTATTTGTGTTTTCATTTCAGATTTCTTTTACCTTTGAAGGTTCATCTCTGAGAGCTGCCAAACGTCCCTTCTGGGGACGCCTCAGCACGGCTGAGGTGCCATAGGAGTCTGTGTGAGTGTCCCCCACGGGGGAAGATGTCACAGGGAACCTGAAGTCTGGTCGGCTGGAACATAAATGAATAGTTGATTCTTACAAAGGGATGGGAAAGGTGGAAAGAAACGAGAAAAAAAATAAAATCACCCAAATGCTTCCTCTCGTCCCACCAATGTCAGTATCTTTTAAGCAGTATAAAAGCTGCTTTATAGGCTCTATAAAACATACATTTTACAGCTGTGGTGTAGTGGTGTTGCATGGCCAGGTTTTGACAGGGGGGCTAAAGGAGTGGCTTCTGTGAGGAGCTGCTAGAAGCTTCCCCATGTCCAGCAGAGCCAATGCCAGTGGCTCCAGGATGGACCCACCACTGCAGCAAGGCCAAGCCCGTCAGTGTTGGTAGCAATGCCTCTGGGATAACAGGTTTAAGACAGGAAAAAAGTTATTGCACCGAAGTAATTGCAGCCAGAAAAGAGATGAGTGAGACTATGTGAGAGGAACAACTCTGCAGACACCAAGGTCAGTGGAGAAGGAGGAGGAGGAGGTGGTCCAGGCACCAAAGCTGAGAATCTCCTGCAGTCTGTGATGAAGACCATGGTGAAGCATCTGTGCCCCTGCAGCCCAGGGAGGTTAGCAGGGTGCAGAGATCCACCTGCAGCCCACGGAGTGTCTGCTGTGACAGCATTCAGTGAGTGATGTCTCCTGGTGCTTAGCTCAACCCATGAACCTTTGGTACATTTTCTCTGCCCTGTCCATTTGCAGAGGGGAGTGACAGAACTGCTCTGGTGGGTGCCTGGCATCCAGCTAGGGGCAACCCACTACACATGGCTCAAGTGATTTCACTTTTAATTGGCAAAATTACACTTAGTAAAGTGACTTGAAAGAAACAGAAAATCATTAACTGCAATTAAGTGCTGGTACCTATGATGAAGTGATGTGGCTCTGAGTCTCACTTGGTCATTTTCAGCTCTTAATGCATCAACATTTAATACAAGTTGATCCTGTAAAAATAGATAAAATACATAATAATACACTTTAAAAGAGTAAGTGTCCAATACGGATTTATAAACTGACATTTATGGGTTTGATCTTATTTCTGTGAAACTCAGAAAGAGCAGATTTTAAAACACAGCCATCAACAATGGAAAAATTGGGTTTGCTACACACAGTACAGCACTGTCACAAAAGGGCATCCCAGAATAATCCTGTTGCATCTCTACACTGACTCCAGTCATGACACTATATATTTTAAAACTAGCTATGAAATCAAATTCATATATTCCTAACTATTATAATTGATAATAAGAAGAAACAAGAAGATTTTTCAAGCTCTCTGCACAAAACGTTATAAAAGTGTTCACTTTTAACTTGAGCATTTTGTATGCTCTAGAAACTCAGAATTTAACAGCAGAGAAATCCAATGAATGATAAAGCAGCAAGAGACTAATAAAAAGTGCCTGATGATGAACATCTGTGCCTTGGGTGAAAATCTGCACAGACCAGAACAAAACATTCTGAATGCATTCATTTAACTCCCAGAAGCACAACCTCTACAGCCTGACCTAGAGACTTACTAGAATGACTTGGGGAGGTGCAATACACCTGTGATTTCATAAGCTACAACAGGTATTGTTTCAGAACAGTGTGGCCACAAAATGAGTTCCACTGCTCCAGGATGAGCAAGGAAAGGAACCACTGTTACTCAAGGAGGGAACTTGTCAGCCCCAGGACAAGCAAAACACCAGACAGCTGCTGTTGCTAAGGAGCAGCCAAGTCTAATAAATATTTCTCTCACCGCTCCTCAATCCTTAAAACTTAAAAGACACTTTGATCAGTAGCATAAGCATTTCATGATATCCACTGCTTTAAGAAAAATATTATGGGAAAATACCCAATATTCAAAGTATTTCTTCCTCTTTTTGCTGTTCAAAATCATAAGTGCAACAGTATAAAAACACAATCTCCAAACTTTGGCTAATTGCCAACAACATTCAGGTGCTTTACATATTCAGGAATGTCTTAAGTCTTTGAGTAAAAATTTATGTATTACCTACAAAATCCTCATAAAACTGAGGCACACTACCAAAATGAGCAACAACAGCTCCCTACTTTCAAACAGAGCTGGGAATGTCAATTTTTATGGGGAATTAAACTCTGGTCCTGCTATGTAGCAATTATGTCCAATACAGTATTTCAGAAGTGCAGATTACCTTTTCATGCTGAAGTTCCTCTATTTGTTTTTTTGCATTCTCAATTTCCCGAAGAAGTGAATTCTAAAATAAAAGGTATCACAAATTCAGTGATTCAGATTTAGAGTCTCAAACCATGAGAAGTATCAAACAAAAAAATTCAGTTATCACTATACAAATACATCTTAAGTTACAGACACTTTATTGCTTACAGCATTTCACTTTGATTATAGTTGAAGGTTTCTCCTTCCAGGTGTACAACCCTATAAATAATGGATTTAATAACAGCACTAGTTCCATAAATTTTTAATAGCAATAGCAGCCTTTGAAAACTTCATTTGACAAAGTCTGGCTAGTAAAAAAAAAGGAATAATTAGGCTGCTAAAATAATTCCCAAGTAGTTCCCTGAGTGGTTACTAAGGCATTAGCAGCCATTATCCTTCAGTTTTCATTCTACTTGTACTTGTTTGACCTAAAATGTTACTACACAGTAATTTCTTGCATGTTCTGTACCTCCAAAACTGCAACACTCATGGACTTAAGAGCCTTCATCAGGATCAGAGCTCATCTTTATAGTTACACCACAACTTCTGAACAACTCCAGTAAATATAAACACTTATGACTTCTACAACCTCTACTCACAGCAGTTTCCAAATTCAGACTAAGAGAAATAACACTCAAGAGCTACAACAGCCAAAATGAATTTCTAGTACTGCATGTGATACCAAGGCAAAACAGAGGTGATTCCCCTTTCTGACAGGAAACTTATACCTGGGTCACTTTCTTTTCCTTTTCCACCACAGCCCAAAAGTTCTGATAATCCTATTTTCTTCAGGTCAGTAATACCTTTATTACATACTTATGATGCAAATACACTTTCATACATGAAAAAATAAATCATTCTGGGAAAAACACCAAGTGACCAGAACAAAGTCCTACAATTTTACCTGCATGTTTCTTCCCAACTTATCAGAAAACAATGACCTGGAAAAGCCTCAGCAAGAATACTTTTGTAGAAGCTGTTACTTACAGTAAAGGGCAAGTAATTTTCCTCATTATTCATGAATGTAGTTAAGGTTTGGAAGATAAAAGGTAGTTTGGGTCAACCCTAAGACACCCCTCAAGAAACTGAATCAGAAATTGACTTTCAAAAGCCCATTAGAGCAACCTTGGTGCTGTCATAAGGGCCACAAAAAGAATTTCTGAAGCAGTTGGTGGTGCTGAAAATAACTAAAAAGCACACGACAGTTTGCAGCCTTAGATGATAAATACCTTTATCACTGACTCAAAGGAGGAGAGTCAGTAGGACCTCAGCTCAGAGATAAGAGCAGGGAAAGGAATGAACTAAATCCCTGTCATGATGTGAGAGGAGCACAGTCCTGGAATTCTAAAAAGACATGTCAGATACCTGACCGATGGTTTAGGGATGAGATGACATGAATGTAAGAGAAAGCAAACATTTAGCAAAAGTCTAATACGTTGTTATATGTACTAAAGGGTTTTATTGCCTTGACTATAAAGAAAGGAAAAAAGTCACTCAGCTTTTCCTGAACCATTTCTCCAGATGGTCATTTCGCCCTCCAGTAAAAGAAACCAAGTATTTCTTTAATCCAAGACAAAATAATTCAACTCAGCATCAAGCAAAGCCTCACTTCAGAACACATTGCTTTGCTGGATGCAGAATAAGGGAGTCTAACTTAAAGGCATGGAAGAAAAATCCCTAAGGACCTAGATCTAAAAGCAGAAGGGAAAGAAAAGGAGTAAAAAGTATGTAAGAAAGTTAGATTAATTGAATGTAGGGGAAAGCTCCAAGATGTGCACTGACAATTCAGGGAACAGCCCATTTAGCTTCATATAATGAGTCTCAAAATGATCTACCTGGGAAGAAAACACAAGATTGTTTTAACTTGCAAGAATCCCACAATGACTCAGGGGAACTGGTACAGCCCAAACCAGTGGGAAATCAAAGAAACTGAACTGAAAAGGTCAAAGTTCTAGTGCTAATTCTTTAGGCCTCCTGTATTACACTGGTTGAGCCTATGCAGTGTGCACCAGTCTGCTAGGAAAGGATAAAGCTCTTAGCAGATGCCTTCCCAGCACTGCACTGCCCAGGGACAACCTCCAAAATGAACTCCAAGAACATATGTCCAAAATCCACACTGGAAAACAGCCCTGACAGCAACTACTTACGAGTAAGGACTTTGTATTTATTTGCTGAAGTTACAGACACATTGTGATATGCACAAATCACTGCAGACTGTTAAGCATCTAACTAATGTATATGCTGGAATCTGACTTGTTACCTTATCTTCCAGGGCAGCCATCCTTTCCTTGAGGTGGAGCTGGAGCCTTTCATTGGATTCAGACAGAAGCTTATCAACAGTTTCTGACAAACGTTTATTATGCTCTTCATTCATCTTCTCTCTCTGCCTAGCCTAAGATACAGAAAAGCTATTGAAACATATTCAAATTTACAGTATCTATAGCAATTTCCAGGCTGTAAAAGCTCAAATTTCTTTAATCCAAATGCATTTTCTTTAACAGAAATATTTGTCCAAAGAGGAATTGCATGTACCTCCAGGGCTCTGCAAGGGAGTGTAAGGGACATCTCAGATGCTAATAATTGTTCAAGATCAGAAGGTCAAAATTTCAGCCTAAATCTTAAGGAAATGCAGATTTTAGAACCAATCCTGTTATGTATCATCCAGGAACCAATTTTTCCCTAGTCACTTAATTCTGCATGTTTTGAATCTGTCTCTTCATCACAAAGTATAACAAGCAATAAGATATTTTCAAATTTCATCAGAGACTTTCAACTTTCCCTTGAGCTTTAAGCTTAGCCCTATACAGCAACTCAAATGTCACAGCTATCAGTCAGCCTGAACTCTGGCTTGGTTTTAAAGATGAGCACTGCTGAATGGCAGCAGCCATGAAGGGGATTAGATTCTTTCTTTCAGCTTTGCATTTTTGTCAAAATAATGTCCAGTACCCTTTGCAGTTCTTGGTTCTTTTCTTCTAGTTGTGCTTCCATCTGTCTCAGTCTCTCCTCGATATTGCCATGTCTCTCCTCAGCCTGTCAATTTGAAAGCAAAATTAGAATTTGGGGCTTTTTTCTAGGTTTCCAAAGGATACAAACATTGAAGCACAATAATATTTCTAACATGCTTTGCACAACTGCCATTTATGGTAAGACACAATGCAGAACAGATGCTTTTCTGTCACTGAAAGAACCTTGCAGGAGTTCACATGGGAAGGAGCAAAGTGATGAAACCTCTCACCCTTAAGTACCATGAATCAACCACCACTTGCAAACAAGCTTGCAACAGCAGAAGTTCATTCATATCCCCAAGAACAAAAAGAAGAATTAAAATGAAAATAAAAACTAAGTGCATTTTCAGCTTTCCTTCACTAGTCTGGACAATGTGGCCCTTTGTTAGTAATCATGACAAAGCAGAAAAGCAGCAAGCAGAAACAAGGACTAATATACAAATTCTACCTTCCTAAGCTTGGTGGTAAGTTCCAATACTTTAGCATCTTTAGCAGCAGAGCTCCCAGGAGACAAAAGGTCAGACTACAGAGCCAGTTAGGGACAGGAAAGATAACAGGGAAAGAAGTGAAACTAAGACTTTAAAAGAAAACACACACACACATGCTTGAAAAGGCTCATTTGTAGTTACTAAATATAATTCTTCAGACTTCATTATTCCATTTGCAGCCCTCTAAAAACCTTAATATTTATTAGTATCATTACTTCTCTCTCTCCCCATATTCTCATTTGGAAGAAAGCTGCATTTCCCCTTCAGAAATAGTTCATGTTTAGAAGACTTTGTGGCTATTATTAAATGCAGCAATGGAGAAGAGTCTGGAGGACACTGCCCAAGGGACTCACCTTTGTGAGAGCTGCAACTCTCTGTGCCAGCTCAGCTTCCACCTCTGGCAAGGTCTCAGCTTTCCTCAAGGTCTGCTGCAGCTTCTGCTCAGCCAGTTCCAGTCGTTCTTGCAATTGCCTATTCTTATCTTCACTCTGCGCAGGATTAAGATCAGCAAATGTTTAGGGTTAAAAATGGTAATTAATTTTCATTGAAGAGGAAGGTAAGGATACAGATCACTGCCTTTACTACACCCATGGAGAACAAACTATTCAAAACTGGTTTTACAACCAAAGATGTGGCCCAACTTCTGTTATGAATAATACTAAAAGGAGTTTCTCTTGCTGACTAAGAGTATCCTGCCTCTAATTACAAAGTGATTGGCTAAACAACCATTTCTGATTTATAAAGTTGGTCTACTTCATGTCAAGCACATGTCAAACTTCCTCTTGCACCAAGGCAACATTTACTTCTGTTGTAGTCTATAAAAATCACTACACACTACTATGCCAATATTAAAAGTTTAGCTCAGAATGAGTAATTCTATATGTGTTTCCAAGCACCTTTAATTTAAAAGTCCACGGCTATTAGGGACAACAGACCTGTTGCACCATGAAGTGCACTGAAACTCTTAATCACTTCTCCTTCCCAGTAAAACACTCATCTTCATTCCCAGGGTAAAACTCCACTTAGTGAGAAACAATCCCTCATAACAGCACATTACAGCTGATATTCATCTTCCCCAAAGTGCTTCAGTACACTCTGACCATTCATTATTTCCATTAGTTTTTATGCTGAGCAAAATGAACTTCAGCTGATTTCAAATGCCAACCTGTCGATGCATTGAGTCTTTAGTGGCAATTTCATTTTCAAGTTTATCATTGAGGTCATGCACAGATGTAGCTTCACGTTGTGCAGCGAGGTAGCGTTTCTCAAGAGTTGTGATTCTCTCTTCCATGTCTTCCTTTTGGGCCATGGTCTATGTGAGATACAAGACAGAATTCAGAATGTGAGAGAGAATTATTTAGTGGATCAAACTGGGAGGCAAAACCCACAAATAGAAATTATAATAGCTAAAAAATGAAAATTAGGTATCTGTTGTGTCAGTATAAAACAAAGCAGAAAGAATAGTCTCACTTCGGCTTGAAAGTTCAATGACTTAAAAGTGTGATTAAAATAGACTGGCCTTTCCTATCTTACACCACAGATCTGCTACTTACCTTTTCAATGGCACAAACAGCAAATTTTACTTCTTGGGGGTGGCCAGAGAGTGTTCTTGGACTTGACTAAGCTCCTTTACTATTTACTAAAGATACAGTACACTGCAGTACATGGGACCTTGGAGATCAGTGACTGATCAGTAACAGAACTGACAATCACACTGTGAAAATAAAGTGATCTTTGCAAAATGTAAACTTCATGAATAAGCTCAGCATTTTTGACAAGATCAAGCACCTCTTCAACATGTGAGTTTGTAGTGCTCAATCTCCCATACATTAATGAAATATCTAGTTATAGATATATATATAATGTAGTCATATATAGTCATAGATTTATCCTACAACAAATTTTCTTAAGCAACTGGTCTTTTAAACAAAAAGTCAGAGAACCATCACAGAATCACACAATACTCTACGCTGGACCCAGCAGGATCAAAGTCAACTCCTGGTTGGTCATGCCCTAAACAATTTTCTCCTCACCTATCAAACCAAAGATATGCTAAAGCACAAAGGTGTAACTGAGCACCAATGACAAATTCCACACACCAGTTGCACTTGTGACCACCCAAATTCTGATACTTCATTCCTCACCTCTCGCACATCTCTCTGTAACTTCGTATTCATTTCTTCTGATTTTATTAAGTCTTTCCTAGCTGTGTCAAGATCTTCTTCCAGCTCTGTTACTCTGCTAGACAAAGCAGTGAGACGTTCTTTCATTTGGGTCTGCTCTTTGTTTTGCTTATCTATGATGTCCTGGAGCTCAATCACTTTAGTCAGGTTTTCATCATGGCATAAAGAACCATCGGACGATCGCTATGAAACAGGAGAAAAATGTATTTGCATGTTACACAGGAGACTGAAAAACAAACTGTTACTCACCTGAAAACACCCTCCCTCGAGATAATTTTATTATTGGATAGACTGCAAAAACTGAAATTGTGGTAACTAAAACTTTTTAATTACATTATCACTCAAAATATTTTGTTACAGTTAATGACTAAAAAAATCAGATGTCAGTTAAACAAATATCTGTACCTTCCCATTTGTAGTTGGTGTGTTTTCCTGCTCATGATTTACATCCAGCATCCCATCTGGAAGTGTTTTCTTCTGATTATTTTGCTCTTTCAGAATCATTAACTAAAAGAAAAGTTTACACACACATGTTTCAAGTCAATTTCTTTCTCACTAAAAATATAAGGAACAGCTGCAAAAGCAAAGCAGCACAACAATTACTGACCCTACTGCAAGGTCTGTAGTAATGAAATACAGCACAGGCACTCAAAACTTTCTGCCACTGCAACCTAAACATTCTTATTTTAAAGCCACAGGAACTCTTTTTGTTGTTCTGCCCAGTTTAGGTTTTTTGGGGGGTATTTGGGGGAGGGGGGATGCAGAAGGAGCTGTCAGGGGGTTGAGGTTTACTTTTTTCCTCTCCTGCCCTTTCAAAACAACTAAGTTAAACATTAATAGTTGTTCCATTTGGCAAAAAAAATCCAAACCAAGAAGTGAAAGTGAAACTTAATAACAGACAATGTTCAAATATTGACTAAAGCACCCACAATGCACACATGAGGACTTCTCTTAAAACAGCATCTTACCTCTTTATGTGTAGTACCTAATTCTTCTTCCAACAAGCTACATCTTTCAAGTGCTACTCGTAACCTCTCCCTTACCTGAAAGGGGAATTTCCAATTATTTGAAACCATTCAAATAAAAAAGAAACCAATTTCACTTATTGCCATGTTGCCATGTCCTTTCAGCTAATAAATGACACTATTTCCATTTCACTTTGAGACCTGCTAAATCTGAGTCAGTACTAATGACAACACATGCTACAAAAAACTTAGTTAGATAATGTGTATCTTAAAAATCTGTATTTTCCCTTTTTGTCATAAGCCAATAGTATCTCAACATCAACTGTACACTTAAGCAAGAATTAAACATACCCACAACTTGCTTGTCCTTTTGCAAGACACAGAGTGTATGTTTTAATTTATTTACAGCACAGAACAAGACAGAATTCCACTTTAAATGATTTGCCCGAATTTATACACAAGTGTCACAAAAGTTAGGCAAACTGTGAGCTGGCAACACTTCACAGTGAACTTCACCACGTGCATATCCTGCTGCCAATATCAGGCACAACTGAAGGGAGGAGTTCCTTTAGTTCAGCTCTGTATCACAGTGTAAGCAGATTCCTCTCCTCCTGTTCCCTCTAGTGCATTTCTTGTATTACATAATCAAAAGGCTAAATCCTGACATTGGATGGGTAAGCACAACTGTATGTGTTCCTACAACAAATACACTGCCCCTGAACCATGCTCAGTTTACATTAGCACAGTTAATGAAGTACTAGAATAAATACAGCACCTTGCTTTAGTGCAACATTAATTACTGATGTAGTTACAGCAAAGTCTTTATCTCCAGACTGAGAAAGTCCAGAGAGTTCTAGAGCTTTAGGAGGAACACTGCATGGGCCACGCAAAGGGAAGAGGGGACAGGATGAGATGTTGTTAGGTACAGTATTTCATTACCTTTTCATCAAGCGCTTTATGGTGCTCAAATAAAGATTTTAGTGCTTTGAGAACTTCTACTTCACTAGAAACTCCTGCTGGAGACTGAGCTTGTCTCTTGACCACAGTCATCCTGAGAGATCGCTCGTGCCTGGAGACAAGACACTCCAAATGTTCCAGTAATAGCTAAAACAACAACAACAAAAGAACTACATTTATTCTTGTCCTGCATAGCTGCAGAAAACTTTGCCTCCTAAAACATCAAGAGCTCTAAACCTCAAATCTCAGAGACAAAGAATATTGTATCAAGTGTAAGGACCTGTTTTTAACATGAGACCTGTGTTAGCAGTGTGAGCTGCTCCAACAGATCACTGCAATCTGCCCACTCTACTCCTCTCATCTTGGGAGTTGTATGATTACAAAACTTTAACGAGGAGCAGCTGAGTGGCAGATAGCAGTGCAGTCTTACAAGCTTTTCCTGATTCTGCACAGCAGGATTTGGAGCTGTGCATAAACTCCCAAACTTGCTTCATCAACACACATTTACACTTCCAGGGGGATTCACGTTCAAGTATCAGGGGAAAAAAATCCTTTTAGCTTTTCAAATTCAACATTCAATGTTTTCAGGCCTGTAGCTGGATGCTTTAACTGGTGAGCTTGGGGAAGACAAGGAACTAACCCTTGTATTATTCCTTTCTGCTTTCAGCTCAGCGATTTCTTCTTCCCTTTCGAGCAGCTGCTCCCTGCATACATTTAGCTCTTTTGTAAGCGCTGCAAATTCCTGAAATAAACCAGACAGAAATATAAGCACATCAAATATCAGGATATAGTGAGAGTGGATTCATATGAACACTTGACATCATTTCTCGAAGCATTCAAAGCCCACAGAGTCCTACAGTCATGCTTAGTTCAAACACCTAAAACTGTTAACGCTGCCAACTGTAAAGACAAAAGATGTTTGACCAAGACTTGTTTGTCTCTCAGGGCAATTATCTGAGTTGGGGTTTCCCTGGTAAGCAAAGGGGAAAAACATATTTGTAATGCACTTTGTTATGGTTTCAAAGAGTTGCTGGTTTTGTGTGGTGATTTTTTTCTGCTGAGGGAGACACGAAAACCAGAACACTAAGTACAGGAAAATAAAGAAACCAGAAAACAAATTTCAAGTCAGTATTTAATTGTGAGTGACAATGCATAACCTGACACCCATCAGAGCTCAGCTATATACAGGAATTCCATTTACTCCTTCTTTCAAACCCCACAAATTGGAACTGAAGCAGCTCT